TTCCTGATTCGGATGGGAACTCGCCTGAAAAGGTGGATTGATTGAGTTTTGTAATATGGAAGAAGCGTCATCTACTAATGGGAAGAGGCAATGCCTACCACCAGCCGCTCGAGGTGCCATATGCATCATCGACGTGGGAAATGCAAGACCTATTGCACAACGCGTGTGAAAAGTAACCCCTCAGTTTAAAAAAAAGTTGGCCGACCTAATCAAAAGTCTGCTATCATCGAAGATTAATTAACCGTCTACCTTGCCGCGGGCCAGCCCAATATTTATCATCGTGAAGTAGAATGGGGTAGAGATCAGGTTGTGCTTTGACTATTAGTTGGTAAACGACTAGACTCAACTCATGCTCTACCCCATGCCACTGATTAACGAGCAGCTGTAAGACTTGCATAGTACACTGTGGTACTTCTCTCTCGATATGGCAAGTAATTATAGGTGTTCAGCATGAATGAGAGAGGGCAAGGTTGATTCAGCCTTTGTCACCCAGTTAGGACTGTTCGAATGGCCATGGATACCATTCGGTTATGTTGCACCCTAGATCTACCAGCGAATTTTGGACAACGCGTTATACGGGTTCTTACGTGTGCTCTCGGGAACCAGATTGGATGAGCCGGAAGATCTTTTGCGTCGGGAGAACCAGACACAGCGTCAGGCCCCTTGATATTTTGTCGTATGTCGTACGTAGATGACATCTTTACATTTTATGAATATTGGAATGTGTAAAGCAACAAGGTGGAGCGGTTGCTGGACGTATGCGACTACTGATATTTGTCAATTAGTGCAGTCAAGAGATCGTGTGGATGTCGAAGAGTCGACTGCCTCGACCACCGTGTATCCAGAGAAGGATTGGAAGCCCACCCCAAGGACCTTCAAGCACTAGTCGACCTACCTCTACCATCAACTCTCAAGCCCATGCAGTCGTTCCTCCGAAGTCTGAATTACTACCGCAGGTTTATCAATGATTACGCTATCTTGCATCGGCCTTATACGAGTTGAGAGGTAAACTTTTACGCGTGGCGATGCAAGTAAAGGTGGTTACCACTCAGTGACCACAGGTGAAAACGAAGAGAAACGGTCTTGAATTTTAGTGGCCTTTGATAAGCTCAAGAACAAGATGGCTACAGTGTCTATTTTGTGGCATTTAGATCAATCAAAAGAATCGGTGATTATCGTCTACGCGAGAAAATGGGCCATCTCAGCGTCGTTTATGTAGGACTATTAGTGTCTATTTATGCCTGTTACCTTTACGAGCCGGACACCCAAAGCCAACGAGTTGAACTAAAGTACCGTGAAAAAAGAAGTGTTGGCGTTGTAGCGAACATTGGAGACTTGTTTTACGATGCTGGTGATCCGACCTCTTAAAGTAATAACGAGACACTCTGCGTTGGCCTGTTTGGTCAAATCCACTGGATTGCAGGGGCGTTTGGGTATTTGGTCCACTTTCTTGTCCCAGGGGATAGCCGAGATTGTAAATTGCAAAACAAGGAAAGACCAGGTGCTGGGGGCGTTAGCAGCCAGTATTTACCCCCGCGAGAATGTAGAATCAATCCTATCGTTTATCGCTCAAAAGAAACAGGCGAAGCAGAAGGTTGAACTACCTACGCTTACTGTGGATAATGACGAGGAGCTATATGCACTAGGTACTGATAAATGGGATTGTGTGAAAACAGGAGAAGGAGCTTGTAGTGCCGTCGTTTGAAGCCTGCCTACGTAGTTGGCAGTAAGCGCTGCCTCCAAATATCTCAAGGAATCCACGGTGAATGAAGCTGAATACAAAGGCATGTTGCTGGGTTTCGAGTTGTAAGAACCTTTGAAACTAAGGCGACTAATCATCTGTGGAGACCTCAACCTGGTGGTCCGGCAGATGCGCGGAGAAATCGAGTGCAATACATCAGGACTTTCCTTACTGCGTGCAAGAGATCTGAGCAACCTTGTGGACTTTCCATGAGATACTCTACGTATAGCGCAATTGGAACTAGAGTGCGGACCAGGTGGATACTAGAGCGTTACACAGACAACGAGGTGTCCATTCGTTACCGACGGAAGAGTGGTCAGGTTCGGAAGTGATCAATCGACTGCCAGAGCAATTAGTACATAACATAAAGACGAGGATCAGACGGTTAGAGTATTCGTGGTGACCCGAGTAAGACTACCCTTCTAAATGTTAGGAGAATCGATGCAAGAAGAGGTGGTACAACAGCTGTGAGTAGAATGTATCGGGAAAGCCTAAGAGGAAGAAAGATGGATAATGGATCTAGGCATATTTGAAAATATCCTAGGCGGCCTATCGGCAGAATCGGTACATGCATGCAGGATTACTGGTATAATGTCCCATCTACAAGACCGACGAGGGCGAACGAGAAATGATCGCCCGACCAGTGATCCTAGAATCCCTCCAGACCGACGTGTTACCACACGAACACGCAATTCTAGAGGTAAGTCATCAAAGGGGTCGGCCGCACATACTATTGGATTTGCTGGTTATGCCATTGGAGAGGCGTTTTTTGAAGTGTACAGCGGTATGTGCGATTATGTGTAGATTACAAGACGCTAAAGAAATGCACAACCTTCTTGGGACTACCCAAGGAAACGTCGAGGTGACCTACCCTTTTTGCCAAGTAATAGCAAAGGGCCATATACCCTCTTTGCCCAATTTACATAAGAGAAACACTAAAATCTTGATTTGGGTCGCCTAGTCCACCGGGTATGTGATGGCCAAGGCAAGAGCTTCGCGAAGTGCTCAGAAGGTAGCTGAAGGGCATAAAGAATGTGTTTTTCGGCGTTTTGGGGCCAGCGAGGTGATTCGCCATGACCGGAACCCGGTTTCATGTCGGACTTCTTTCGAGCGTTTGATTGCATACGGGGCAGCATAGACGGGCGATGATGGCTTATCGACTCCGATCGAGCGACACCGCAAAAATAATGGTCCAAACTGTTAGTGAGTGATGTTGCGGCCTCATGTGCAGGATGTACATTGCATATCAGCACTAGTTGTAAAGTTCTTAAGCGAACTTAATATTGTGAGGTGTTAGCGGTTAGATAAAGCACAAGATAGGGTCGATCGTTTGGGAAAAGGGATTCCTCGCGGCTGAGTGCGGGTTTGAACCACGCCGTGTGCAAGTTAATTGTGACCGACACTCCGGACCTGGTGTTTATAGTTTTGCAGAAGTGTGACCCACCCGCATTTACAGCCCCAAAAACCACGCAATCGTTTACATTTTGCATACGATAGAGTTCTTACGAATGTTATTTACGATATGTAATTACCTAGTGATAGGTAAAACAGAAAGCGGTGGAGACAGGGCACAAAATCGGTGTCTAAGAGTCAATGGTTACTACTAGCCATTCGTTTATTTGGAGCTAGGAACATTTTGTACAAATATTACTTTTCGGTTTGCATCCCCGACCGTGAGCCGCCTTCTTCGGCTCAGCAACCGAGTAAGAATTTAACACAAACTCTGAAAAGATCTATCAAGACGTACGTCTCAGATGTGGTGCAGCAAAATTAAGACGAATACGCAGAACGGATGACGTTTGCACTGAACAGTGCACACAAAGGGTGCGAAAAGAGACACCGTTTTGTTTGGCCCACGGGTCGGACGCTAGAACCACTCTGGAAGCAACGCTGCCAGTGGTGAACACCAGATGCAAAAGGTCTGGAGCTCGAAGATGGAGGTATCACATCCAGAATCACTCCAGTGGCAAGGGATCAAGTAAATTAGAATTTGCGGTCGGTCTGTCAAGCCCGAATGCTAACTCATATAAACAAGTGGCCAGTCAAAAGTTTAGGCCAGGTATACAAGTGTACCTCTAACTAGATCGTGTAAAGGAAGGGTAGGTCATAAGCTTGGCTTACCTCTAGTATGGTCCGTTCCGACTTTGGAGTTGGTCGGTGAAAATGCTGCGCGGTTGGAAGTAAAAGATACGAAGCAAATCTTATTCCCGATCGTTCACATGTCAAAGTTTAAAAGAGTCAGGGAGTTCCCAGATCGTTCAAGTGACCAAAGGTTAATGAATGAGGCCGACAGGTTCTAGACTTTGATGAATGCTTGTTACCGAGGATAACTAGGCGCGCGGACTGGAGGAAGGAGAATACGAAGTGGTAGAGATTTTAGACAGCCGTGTCAGCAAGAAGACGCGATACGGTCGGCGTGAGTTCTTAGTACGTTGGAAGGGTCATGCGGACCCCTCATGGGTCAAAGAAGTGGATTTGAATTGTGGATCTTTATTACGTAAGTTTAAACGCAGCATGATAAACTACAAATGGTTTGAGGTGATGCAGAGTCGCGAAGACTAGTCGTGGAGAGGGATACCAGTCTCCCGTTGGTCGGTCTGGTCGCCTGTGGATCGGTCTTGACCTCCGTGGGTGACCCAAAGTTTTGAGACCAACCAACGCTATAGAGAAGTCGCCATGACTCAATCAGGGTGGGTAATTTTGGCCTAAGGTATGCCGTGGTTTATTGAAGTCAGCCACAAATTTCATGGTTAACCAAAACAGTGCAACGCTGACTGACAAAGGCAAGAATATGGCAGAGTTGCTAATGATCAACTAGTGGACAATGTATATGCAAACACAGATTGAAATCATGGTGTTGAAGCGATTAATCCTACGAAGGAGGAACGAACCTGTTCTGAAGGCAAGCGACCTTGGTCCTGGGGGGCGGGCTCAGAGGTGAGTCTTTACAGGGAGATCCACGGCCACGTAGAGTCCGAGAGATGAAGAGCAGCCAAAAGATCGACCGGGTCTGACTACTCTTTACACCCAAGAAACCAATTATTACGCGGAGAGGGCAAGACAAGTGCCGGCAGAAAGGGCCCAAGAAGATGTCGATGTCACACCAATGAACGGAAATCCCTGCGAAGATCTGACCGACGATCCCACGCCAAGCTAAAGACTCCCTACTCCGACGTTTCTTCCGGGCGTTGTAGTATGAGGCGAAGAAAGACCTTGTGCGGGCTTCATCCATCGAGATCCAGAGGCAGTGGGTAACCTCCTACTGCGCCTGAGCGTACTCAGTCTCGAAAGTCGCGTACGCGTCAGTTAGACCAGCAAACCAGCCAAACACCTTAAACGACACAAGAGCAAGAGGAATCTTGGTGGCCAATGAAGGCTTCGTATTCATCAGGCTCCTGACCATACGGGGAGTCGCCAGCGAAGATTTCCATTTAGTTAGATAATCAAAATTCCAGTCTGGGGGACCTACTAACCCCAAGGTATCTCCAATTGGTCAGCCAGGTCGCTAGACGTCATGGTGACGATCAACCAGGAACTGACCAGGCCGACAGACCTATACGCCACTTCACTGGTGGTAAATACCCCCGCTTGAGTCGTACATGGGATCATGACCTCTGGTGGAAGCGAGTACTTGTCTTCCGACTGAAAGGAACTGCGAGTTCTTGGATGTCACCCAACTTCCGAGGTGGCGGCTTGATCTTGGAACCGGATGCAAGCACTTGGTATTGGTGAGAGATTAAGGTGTCAAGGCCTTCAGCACGGGAGTCATCATGGCCGCCGACGACGGGAAGAATGAAATCCAGCCAGAGCAGCCCGTATTGGTTCGCTGTCGGAACTGAGGCTCAAGTCGAAAAATGCTGGAACTATTGACGACGCTGCTTTCCAAGAACGCGTGGGGACCGTTTCCTTCACCATCGGAACATCCGGTACGCTCACCTTCATCCGCTTAACCGGGTGAGCTGATGTGCGAGTAGAGCTCCCCAGAGGTCGCTTGCCGGCGGCAGGAGCAGAGGGTCGATCGTCCGTAGTCGAGTCTTGTGGCGGCCCTGGAGTGATCTTGGGGCTATCCATTAGAGGTTCGCCCGAGAAATCGGAGTGGCTGAGCTCTGCCACGAGAAGAGATATCCGAATTTGTCGAAGGTCGACTTGCTGTCGCTATTGGTCGGTCAGCCTATTCTCATGCTACAGCTTCTCACGAAGCTGCGACACGAGAGCACTGGAGTCAACTAACTCCCGTTCCAATCTCTCAAACTGTATCGACCAGTAATGCGGTGGCGGGGACATTAGATTCAAACTACCCTCACAGGCCTCGACACGGCGAGACAACGCCAGCGCATCAAAGGGTGACACGTTCATGGAAAGACGGTCATCGACAGGGTCTTCCGGTGGGGCTGATTCGACTATAGCGGGAGCGGCACGGACAGCAGTCACAACTGGAGGTGACCCCACATCCAAGGTGACTGGAGCCGACTCCGACGGTGACAAAGTAGACCGTGCAGTCACGGCGGCCTCTCCTGCTTTCACCAACGATGACGAGTCTGAAGAACCTAAGACGACAGGCGATGCTGCAACTGCGTCCTCCTGGGCAGAGACCTCTGCCGAGGTTGTAGATGGTGGCGAAGGAGTTGGAAAAAAGGACCCTCAGATGGTGAATCGGATCACGGTGAAGATTCGGCTGCAAGCAAACAGGTTAGACAGTGACAAGATATAGACCACAAGAGCAGGTTAAACTTACAGGAATGGCGTGGTGACGACATGCTCGTGCTCGGACAGCTGTACGATCAAGCAAGTGCAAGGGGCGGCTGTGGTTAAGCGAGTTTTCAGAAATGATGGACTTTAGAGTCGATGATTCGGGCGAACATGGGACCTCGCGGCCAGGAAAGGGACCGGAGACTGGGTGTCACAGGTAAGGAGAGGCCGTTGGGTCCAACCGTGACGAGCGGTTAAGGTTACTGCTAACGGGGTCAAACCGACCGACGGTATTAGATAAACGGTACTGATATGAATCGTTCACAACCACTCGTAGGTCGGCTTGGTCACACAAGGTGGCCCTCGGTCACCCGTAGGCCTCCTTGGCCCCCCATCGGTTGGCCCGGTCGCCCAAGGTGGGACTCGGTCATCTGGAGGCCGACCTAGCCACCCATCGGCCGACCTGGTCACCCAGAGGTTGACTTGATCCCTCAAGGTATGGATGCTCCTATCCACTTATCATTGCAAACCAAGGTGCAAGGCAAGGATAGAGTGAAGGAGTTTAAAGAATAGGATAATACTAAATACTACTCGATTTACGATCGAAGTAGCACGACGTGTCGCGCGCCAAGAAACTTGTAAGTCTAACGACCTGTTCCAGGCCAGGAAGATCTGTTTGGTTTCACCCGTCGAAAAGACAGTTGTCAGTAAGACATAAGCGTATGTAGAGCCAGGAAGAACATTGGCCTGTGGGTTCGTAGAGTAGCACCCCCAACTCAAGCCCGCTATAGGAAGCGGTCTCCATAAACTAGTGGTAAGGGAGAAGACACATAAAGCACAAGTGGCTACCACTCCTGAGATAGGTAAAGGTCAGGCGCCACCAGCACCTGAGACAAGTGGTCATAATACCAATCTCGGCCAAGTCAATCGAGTAGCCGTCTACTTTGGACACCGACTGAAGCGTATCCGCTCGAGGACCCCCAGGTCGACTTCCATCAAGGCCGACGTCTACATCATCAACAAGTCCTCTGAAAAGTTAAACCCGTCAAGCCGACGGGTACACAAGGTGAGTCAAGGTACACAAGAGGCATCGGGGTACCTCCTCTGACAGTCATCAGTCCGGCACAGTGAGTGGTTTGGGTCTTGTCAAACAGTTTTGACAGGTAAACGATCGAATTGATTTTTAGTTGCTGCATCACACCAGCAATTGATACATTTTAATCGCTTCCCTCCGATCGCTCTGGCGACAGAGGTCTTGCGCCAAACATGTCAGTAGAAGCCGATCGATGTGGGTAGTTGAAGTTATCACTACTTTTGATCTCTCCGGCGATGAAGATTGAGAGTCAAACGTATTAGGAGAGACCGATTGACCCAACGACGATCTGGTACGGCGGACACGCTTGGTTTTTGATTTCCTGGACTTGGAGGCAGGAGGACATCGCTTGTGTTGGAGTATGAAATTTCCAGGGGAGACGCGGTAAGCGCTGGTAGAGTATTTGAAGAAGCACCAGCGACTGGTTCATCTATGCGAGTGAAGAGCGAATCTTTTTTTTACTGGAGCGCATGATCATGCCCTGCTTTCATCTCACCCAGTTCTTTTACTAACCCTCCACGATCTGCAGCCCGATCAGCGAGATCAAAGTTGAGTCGATTGCGCTAAATTGTGAGATTGGATATATGGACTGTGAAGCAATCTCACTCAGTCTTGATCGCACCCAGGTTTCGCACGGCCATGAATGACTCCCGCATGATCGCGGACTGGCGACAAAAAAATCGGGCTTTCGCGTCTTTGCTCTAAAGCTTCGCTTGAGCATCGGCATACTTAAAAGACGCAATTTCTGTTTCCAACTCGTTTTGGAGTACAGCCAGTAGACGCCGATGCTTCTCTTGTTTGGCATAACGAGCCACTTTAAGCTTTTGAAGACAAGAATTCAGGATTGTGATATCTTTAATAGGTTCCTATTGATGAGCCTATTCATCTTAGATTCAGCTGCTTGGCATCGTCCAACGAATCACGCAGGTTGTTGTACCTCATTTTCACAAATTGCCGTATCGATCGAGAGAATTTTTAAACGTCGCGCGGTTGGCGTTTAAACGGCGATTGCCGCAAATTTCTTGAGCTCTCAACTGATTGTAGATCGCACTGTAATAGGTTGCCTTATCTTGACGTGCCTCAGACAGCCGTAGAGTTCATCGATATACGATCGTAAGGTAAGCCGATCCGATCGCAGTGATAAAGCTCACGCGGCCGCTTAAAACGAAGATGGAGAATGCAAAGGGACTGCGGCCGGTGGCGTGGAGCCTAAAGCTTTAGGTAGGCCCGAACAAGTTATCGACTGATCACCAGAGTCGTTCATGAAGAATAATATAAATGAGACGATCAACGTAGTTGGAGATTACGGCTGACAAAGCGCAAAGATACACCTATACTGTATGTCAGTTATCAGTGCCAAACACGGCTGTGGTAAAGAGGATCGAAGCAATCGGGTGCGATGATTGGGTTGAGTGATCTTATACTTTGACAATTCGTAGAAAAGATCGATTGTCTATTAAGCTGCACAATACCGACACCAAGATCGAATATTGCAATATCAAGATCGAAGGCCACGAAACCATGAGTGAATATCGCAATACCATATTCATAGATCATAGCAACGGGATCGAACATCAATTTTCCAAAATCGAATCAGAATGCCGATATCGAATCAAAATACCAAGATCGGGAACGCATTGTTAGAATTAACTAGGTTGCGGAGCTGATGCTAAGAAGAAAGATGGCTTACGGCCGGGGATGAAAACCGAAAAGTGAGTTGTGTTCAAGTTGTTCCTAGCTTCGAAAACGAATGGCTGGTAGTAGCCGGTGGTTCTCAGCCACCTATTTCGTGCCCTGTCTCCACCGCTTTCTGTTTTACCTATCACTGGGTAATTACGTCTCGTAAATACCTTTCGTAAAAACTCTGCTGTGTCATATGCAGAATGAAAACGATTGCGTGGGTGGGGGACGTAACTGCGGGCGGGTCACAGTTCTGGTGAACCCTAAACACCAGGTCGTGAGTGTCAGTCACAATTAACTTGTACACGGCCGGAATCGAACCCGCACTCACCCGCGTAGAATCCCCCCATCTCACAATATAAACCTGCCAAAGAACAATACAACTAATGCAAATATGCACTATACACCCTGCACAAGTCGCTGCATCATCACTCGCTAACACGCTTGATGTGGGTGCGGCGTGTGCGCCCTACACCGCCATGCACAGACCCGTGATGAACTTGCTGTGCTTGTCTCTTGGAAGTGCCTTGGTGAATTCATCCGCGACCATTTCTTCTGTCGGCTTGAACTCTAGCGCGATCACTGCACTTGCAACCTTACACGCAAAAAGTGAAACTTGATGTCGATGTGCTTCGTGCGCGAGTGGTACACAGGATTCTTGGCCAGTGCGATGCAACCTTGATTGTGTTGAAAAATCGTCGTCGCGTTCTTGGCACAGTAGTTTAGGTCCTTGAGCAGACCTCGGAGCCAAATTGCTTCCTGCGTCGCGCTGTACAGACTCATTTACTCTGCTTCAGTACTAGAGGTCGCGACCGTTTATTGACGCTTCGAATTCCACGATATCACGCTTCCGTTCAGGAAGAAAACGTATCCTGTTGTCGAACGCCGCGTGTCGAGGTCGCCAGACCAGTTTGCATCCGCGAATCTGATCAGCTCTCCCTTGTTGATGCCGCTGAACACGATGCTTAAGTCTTGAGTCGTCTTGAGATACTTGAGAATCCGCTTTGCCGCTGTCCAATGCGACTTGTCGTAGCGCTCGCAAAAATTCGCAACTTCGCCAACCGGATGCGCAATGTCCGGTCGTGTACATGTGGCGATGTACATTAAAGCACCCACCAGCTCACGGTATGGGTACTTTGGTACAAACGCTTCCTCTTGACCCATCTTAATCAGCTTCCAGTTACTGTCCGCCGGCGTGTGCACGTCCTTGCAGTTTTCAACGCCGAACTTCTCCAAAAGTCGCTTGATGTACGCCTTCTGGTTCATCTTGATCGTTCCATCTTCGCGCTTGCGATGAAACTCGATCCCGAGGCAGTACTTGAGATCTCCAAGATCTTTGATGCTGAAAACTTTCATCAATGAGCTCTTGATACTTGCGATGTGCTCCTTTGTCTTGCAGAAAATCATCAAGTCGCCCACGTAGATCACGATGATGCTGTACTCCTCTCTTGTCACTCGAACGAACACACACGGGTCCGCTGCACTGCTCTTGAACCCTTGATCATCCAAGTGCTGACTCAACTTGTTGTTCCACTGCCGCGCCGCTTGCTTCGTCCCGTATAGCGCCTTCTGCAGCAAACACTTCTTTTTCGGGCTTCCTTCATCTTCAAAACCGTCAGGTTGGTCCATGTAGAGCTCCTCTTCCACTTTGCCGTAGAGAAACGCATGTGTCGACATCAACGTTATCTGCTTCCAGGTCTTCAGCTGCAGCGATGGCCAACACTGTGTTGATAGATTCTTTGCGCGCCACTGGTGCAAAGGTCTCGTTGTAGTCGATGCCAGGACGCTGCGTGAACCCTTTCGCAACCAAGCGTGCCTTGAACTTGATAATCTCCAAACTTGGATCGCTTTAATCTTGAAGACCCACTCGCAGCCTACGGCCTTCTTGCCCGCTGGCACGTCCACTAGCTTCCATGTGCTGTGTTCTTCAAGCGACTTCATCTCACTCTTCATTGCCTGCGGCCACTGATCCTTGTAGCTGCTCTTTATCACTTCTTGATAGCTGGACGCTTGTTCCCCATCTTCTCAGCCGAGAAACAGTAGAAAGAGTCGAAGTCACCTTCGTAGTCGTCCAGATTGAAGCGACCGAAACGATGGCTTGGAAATTCTTGTTCGTAGCGAACCACGCCGCGCTTCTTCCGAACCGGTCGCACCATCCACTCTTCTTCTCCATTTCTTCCGGGTGTGCTGGATGCGCGCGTAGGAATGGTGTCGCTTGGTCGATCACTTGGTCTGTGATGAGAGCTGTTCTGCGCTCGAAGTGGTCGGGTGCGTAGCTCTTCTCCGGTGCCCGGCGCTGGTTTGTCTTCATCATCGGGTGGCGACGCCTCCACACTTTCCTCTTCTTCAATGACATCGAAGACCCGCGTGTCTCTGCTTTTCGATGCTTTCGAGACAGAATGCTCAGCGAACGTGACGCTTCTCGAAATCACGATTGAGCCATCGTCCGCGTTAAGAAGCCGATACGCCTTTTGGTCCTTCGCATAGCCGAGAAAGAAACATCGCACGCCTGAGTCGTCCAGCTTCTTCCTCTTCACCTTCGCCACACGCGCATAGCATTGCGCACCAAACACGCGCATGTGATCGATGCGCGGAACCTTTTTGAACACCATCTCGTGTGGGCTTGATCTCTTGTTCGACGCGTTCGGCAGAATGTTTCTGATGTCTGCCGCTGTCATCAGTGCCTTGCACCAGTACGACTTGTCGAGACCGCTTTCCTTGAGCATACAGCGCGTCATCTCCACCAGCGTGCGGTTCATCCGCTCTGCCATCCCGTTCTGCTCTGGGTTGTACGGAACCGTGAAATCTTGCTTGATGAACGTTGCCTTGCAATAGTTGCTCATCGTTTTGTTCCGGTATTCGCCGCCGTTGTCACTTCGCAGCACCTTTATCTTCGTTCCAGATGTTGTATTGATATCTTTATAAAACCGCTTGAACGCACTCGCAACGTCGCTCTTCTTTCGCAACGGATAGACCGTTACGTACCTGCTCTTCATCATGATGAAGGTTACGGCGTAACTGAAACCAGACTTAGACGCTGGCGTGATAGGTCCGAGAACGTCGGAGCACACCACCACGTCGGAACGCGAACTCTCCTTGGTTTCAGCGTCTTCTTCATTTGTCTTGAATGACTTGCGCACTTGCTTTGACGTTGTGCAAACGTCACACGCAACGTCTGTCTTCACCGTTGCGCCCTTGATCCTTCCGTCCTTGACCATGGCATTCAGCGTACCATACGATACGTGACCCAGTCTTCTATGCCACAACTCTGCATCGTCTTCGGCCATGTGGCCCTCCGTACCATAGTCAGCGTTTAGATACAGTAGAAAACCCTGCTTCCTTCCTGTTGCGACGGGTTTGCCTCCACGCTTCACCACGCACTCGTTGCGCGTTATCTCCACTGTCATGCCGCGCGCTGCCACAGCCGTGAGCGAAAACAGGTTCTTGGACAAATCTTGAACGTGAAGTGTGTTCTCAAGGCGAGCGTCGATCCACGCATGCCCTGTCCAGACGCGCAGCTTCACTGTCCCAAGTCCAATGACATTCAGCTTCACGTCGCTCTTTGCGCTTGAAATACTTCGCGCATGATGCACCTCTTCGTACTCTTCGAATGCATCTCGATCCTTGCACATGCGTGCTGACGCGCCACTGTCCATGACCCAGTTGTCGCTCGCGAAACCATCGCTGACATCAAACGCGACATTCGACTGGTCATGCTGTTGCTCCCTTGGCCCTCGACCGGAGCGACAATCTCTGGCGTAGTGTCCAACTTTGCCACAGTTGTAGCAGGTCCCTGATGGTCCTTTCGCGCGCCGTCCTAGATGCTTCTTCGGGTACTGCTTACCCTTCCTCTTGCCTGCGTAGAGCGCCGTTGCATCTTCTACCCGTGCAGCCTCATTCTGGCGCACTTCTTCGGCGATCAACTTGCTCACGAGGTCACTGAATTTGAAGCTTGCGACGGACATGCGGAATGCCTGTACCAAGCTCTCGAAGCTTGCAGGTAGACTCCGCAACAGTACAGCACAAACGTCCTCTTCGCTTGGACCGCAGTTCGCGCGCTTCATCTTCATCACGAGGTCCTCCAGCTCCATCACATGACCGCTCATGCTTGATGCTGCATACTTGAACGAGGCGAATTTTTCCTTTAGCCAAAGTCGATTCGCCATGTCATGACAGTGATGAAATTGCGCCAAACGTCCCCACGCTTCTCTTGCAGTGGCCGAGTCGATGACATGCATCAACTGCGAATCGCTCAGATTCAGCACGATCGCGGCGTGGGCTTGCTGTTCCTTGACCTCACTTGTTGTCTCATCGCCCGCGATCGCGCCCCACAGCCCCTTCGACATCAGGCACATCTTCATCTTGTAACTCCACAACCCATAGTTCGAGCCGTCGAAAGGCTCGACCTTGAAACCGGAGTCGTTCTTTAGGCTCATAACCTGTTAGAATCTACTAGGTTGCGGAGCTGATGCTAAGAAGAAGATGGCTTACGGCCGGGGATGAAAACCGAAAAGTGAGTTGTGTTCAAGTTGTTCCTAGCTTCGAAAACGAATGGCTAGTAGTAGCCGGTGGTTCTCAGCCACCTATTTCGTGCCCTGTCTCCACCGCTTTCTGTTTTACCTATCACTGGGTAATTACGTCTCGTAAATACCTTTCGTAAAAACTCTGCTGTGTCATATGCAGAATGAAAACGATTGCGTGGGTGGGGGACGTAACTGCGGGCGGGTCACAGTTCTGGTGAACCCCAAACACCAGGTCGTGAGTGTCAGTCACAATTAACTTGTACACGGCCGGAATCGAACCCGCACTCACCCGCGTAGAATCCCCCCATCTCACAATATAAACCTACCAAATAACAATACAACTAATGCAAATATGCACTATACACCCTGCACAAGTCGCCGCATCATCACTCGCTGACACGCATGAGGTCTTCAAAGTCGGGAAGATGACCGAAAAATCGTCAGGGATCAAGGTCCTAGAGAGTGATCAAAGATCAATCCTGGAGAGTGATCAACGATCAATTCTGGAGAACGATGATCGGTCAAGGAGATCGACGATTACTTAAGGAGATCGACGATCGCTCTTAAGTGGACCACGTTTGCGAAGAAATGATCAACTGAATGTGGAGGACTCGTGGTAGCATATCCTGGCTTACAGACAGGCATATTCGTACTTTTAGCTTTTGATTGTTTGAATTTATACGACATTTTGTTTGCTTCTAAATGTACTTGTTGAAGTCTCTTCCGGGCTAGTTTATTGGCGTTCCGACGTAAAAAGTAGCCTGTACTTATATAAGTAATATCCCCATATAATTGGCTAAGGGTCAAGCATTCTTACCTCCCTTTAACTGCGGTTGGACTCAGCAAGAACCTTAAGTAAACGGTGCAAGATCGCAAGGCGGATTCAGTGATCAGAAGTCTCGCGTTTAAGCATCCATGGAGTGGACATGGCGATCTCGTTAGAATATGGGTCGCTTACATTTAGTAGCCTACAAGTATATCCGTGAGAGTGTGGAGGTTTCCGCGCGATCACAAACCCATGCCCAACACAGTCAAGTAATCTATCGACACGAGTCCACCGAAAAGAGTACAGTCCTCCCTACCGACTGGTACACAAGATAGGAAAGGAAGTACAAGTCACGGAAACGGAGTACCCTCCGATAATGTCGATCATCTGGGTACCAGCGAAGAGTTGGATTTGCCTCAAAAAATGAGCGATCGCCACTCCACCACAAAGATGTGGTGCATTGCGCCACTGTCGACCTCCCACATCCTCGGCATGCTCTTACCTGTTAAAAGGTCACTATAAAGCTACACTGCGTAGGCGACCCATCCAATGCACTCGTAGTCGTCCCCTTCGCTGCACCAGCGGACGTTTCTGACCCCGAGTCCTCAGCTATTGCAACCGCGTCTCTGGCTCTTTTTTCCTTTCTGTTCGGACCAGCACCTTTTCACCGTGTAAACAGATTCGCCACAGTATGACCAGTAGCGTGCTAACGCTCAGCACTAAACGCACTGGCTGCGTCGTCGGTTCTCACCGCCGCAGTCGAAACACCTAAACGCTTGATGCGCTCGTTTTTCAGCACCTTGAAAACGTCGCGCGATCGAACATTAGCATTGTTCATCTTCAAGTTGGATCGACTTTCTCGTAAATCTTGGGAAGACTTCACATCAAACAAATTGTAACGTCCTCGTCTTCCATTTTTGGGCGCCAATGCTGCTTAGCTACGCGCTGATGTTCAGCACCTCATTGCAATGGTGCAATACATTGCCGCCTTCTTCATGCCATACATCTGGCGCTTGAAGATGGTGCGACCGACCTACTGCGATCCTCCGTAAAACGTCCAAATGCGCGCCCATGTGACATTTGCTTTTTCGCAGTCATCAACCACATAGTGGGAGTTAGCGTCCATGAGGAGTGACATTAGTCCGAACGCAACATCATTCGTCCTGACACATTCGTCACTAACGCGATGATCCGAGAAGGTTGGCGCTGTCTCCTGGTTTACCACATGCCTCGTCGACTTGGTAAGAAACACGCCACGTATGAAGCGGCCCCATGTTGCTTAGTTGTCACCATAAAACTCTAATGGTGCCCTGACAACGCACTTAAAGGTTATGACGTTTAGGCTAACAACCTGTTGGCGTCAATAGTCGGAAGTGGGCAAGAAACTTTGCACTTCGACGAGGTGAAGAGAAGACACCTGACCTAATAATGGAGTTTGAAAATATACATCATATAGATCTTTCTTTTTCTACACTTGACTGCATCCGATCACTTCGTCCAACGAATTTCTAACTTTTTTGTGCCCTTCCATTTGGGTAAGGTCATCGAAATGACTTCACGTAATTTCCAAAAATGACACGAATGCAAAAAGAAAGGTATCCGGTAGATAAAATCAAGTCTTATCACAACTTACCTACAACAGTCGAAATGTAGGGTTTAGAAATTAAGGGTGTAGGGTGTAGGGAGTAGGGTGTAGGGAGTAGGGTGCAGTAATTAAATAAATTTACACTTTTACCCATTAATTGTGCCTAGCTATTCTGTATCGTTCCACAATGGCCTGATTCGTCGAATGGTGGAGGAATATAGTGAAAGCAAGATAAAGCAGATGAATAGCGGGTTTCCATAGTTAAGGTAAAACAACCCGATGACCTGGAAACCCGGGGCGAAGCTTGAAATCCGAAAGAAATGGACTTTGGTATGGTTATACAAGCCGCAAGCAAGTCGAACGGTATGAGACCAAAATTAATGCCTTCAAATTTCACCGGCGGAGGATTAGCGTAATGGTTAGTGGACTTCCATTTGATGATTCTGGGCGGGTCCAAGTACCGTAGGGTGTGCAAAAAAAGAATGGGTTCAGTGTACGTTCTGAATTGGGAGCTGGCGCATAACACGTCGGTGCTGTAGTGAGGTTGTAGTTACTTGACCCTTGTACGAAAACGGACGTCCGTCCCCCAAGCCTAGCTTGGAGTCCAAACTTAGAAACTTTATAGGAGGTGGCCGGTATTCGTAATGTAACGATAATAGTCAGAGGCGCTAAGGGTCCGTAATAACGGCAGGACCCCGATCGCTCCAAAATGGCCACGTAACAAGTGACTCAATTTGTGGTAACTCGTGACCTTAAACAGGCGCAAGAGAAGCCCGATAAGAGCAATAGCTACATCAGTCAATGCGCCATCCCAACAACGCGAAGCTTATAGACAAAGAGCGACGCCTAAAAGTAAAGTAAGGGCCTTATGCCCAATGCCAAGGCATAAGGAAAATCGAACTGTACCAAAACCAAAGAGTGATGACCCATGTCGTAACGGATAGAGACATGGTAACCGTAAATGTACCTAGTATTGTAAATCAGGAAACCGAAACTGCGGGGGTACATACAACATAAGTGTCCGGGGGTCGGAGACGCAACTGCAGGTATTAAAGCAAAGCAGTAAGCTGTCTTAACGTGATACGGGAATGGCGTAAGCTGCTAGTAACTAAGTCTTGGTAAAATCACTCAGTATGAAGAGTGACCACCGCGTGAACTTAAGCTTGGACATTGATCAGGTTGGCGGTAAAACCATGAAATCGAATATCATTGCGGTGCATCCATAGCGAAATATAACCGCCAGGACGATGTGGAAACTTAAGTCGGCGTGACAGCAAACAGGAGCACCGAACTCCATAAATTGGCGAGTCGAAAAGCGTTTGAAACCGGTTGATCCAAAAATCCCAGACTTGTTCCGCAAAGCTGCAAAACCAGAATAGGTGAGGAGCCGTTTCCAGTGCTTGACACCCGTGATGACGGGAGGTAGTGGCACACGAAAGATGCTGAACTTTGTACTCAAGAAAGAGCGAGTTATGCTGGAGTCGGTAGAGCAGTTCAGCGTATACCGGAAGTAAGTGCTTGCCTATCTTGAGGTCCCGACACCACATAGAAGGCGGCGGAACGGTATCCAGGCCTAGCCTAGATAATGGCAGGGTCGGGGTGGTGTGATTGACCAGTATGCACCGGATACGAGCCACGCTAAGTTGATCCAAAGAGTAACCGTCAAAGACCCAGTCGTGGAAGGCGCTAAGTGATTGAGGCTAGCGAACCGGTCCAGTAGGGAGCACCGTTGTGTATCCCAGAAAACTGTGAATGCGCGCCAAAAAGTTCGAGCGAACCCGGATAGTGGGTCTACGACCTGGATCGATGGACTGAAGAAACAGCGACAAGGAAGAACCAGAAACAGTGTAGCCACAAGTCTAAAACAGATCAGCTGGGCGGTGGAGACCGAGCGTAGCCAAAAGAGCAGTCGATTGCGTAGGGCAGGACTGGCCAGCCATTGAACGCCCAGTCGAAGATAGGTGATACTCACATTGTGAGGAATTGGTGTCGTAAGTTTGTCGAACTTGGAGTTGGAGCGGACGATCTTTCGTTGGAGGCGGGTATTCCAAACGAAAAGAGCCGAGTGCCAATAGGCGCTGAGATCTGCCAATTGTCGTGTGCGAAAAGAGATAGCGTGATTTGGACTTGTCGTAACCGGCGCATATAGGATATCAAAATCTTGTTTTTATGACCTTATAGCGTTATCGAAAAGGCATATCACCGGTAGAGCCCAAGGAGGAACATTATAACCGAATATATTCCGGGCGGCCAAAACAACCTTGCACAGCATATGAGCCTGAAGACTGTGGACCATGTCACAGATCCAAGTAAGTCCCAACCCCCTTGACCGGAAGGCAGAAATCACCAAATTTTGGACAAAGCGATGTTGGAATTGGACTTGCATAGGAAGCGCGATAGCAGCGCGTTAACCTGATCTTGGAACCCGGTCGCAGGAACATGACAGAATCTGGCCGAAATCCACAGTATTGGCAAAAAAATGTGATGCAGGATAACTACGTGACCGCGAAGAGTGCGTGCATGAGGGCCCAAAGGGTACACCGCTCTTGCTTCTCACCAGTA